ATATATATATATACATATATACGTACATACATAATTAGTCTGTACTACATACATTGTATATACAAATAATTTTTCCATTCGACATCCGATCGGTACAATGTACTCATGCGTACTTAAGTATGAATGAATTATATAATAACAATGTGAGTTCATACAATAACATGCAAAGTAACCATTTGTATCTAATCATATACAGCGTACGTTCGTATGTATTTGCGTATGTATGTACCTATATATATAATGCACGTATGTATTCATATGCGTACATGCAATGTAGGTTAGTATTTATGAACGTACGCTTAATTAACGTGTGTTATTTATGAAAGGTCACTTAATATAAAGCAGAAAAAATTCCTTTTATTTTTCAGAAAGAGAAGCATATCTGAAGAGGCAGTAATTTATTTGAAGATTATTTGCATGCTCTGTATCAACTACACCCATTATATCATTTGTTTTTTATATATTGACGAAATAGTTGATTTAATTCTGTTTTGTATCATGTACTAACGAACATAGTATCGATAATATTTTTTGTCTATGTAATATATTAACGAAATACCTAAATTAATTATGTCGTTTTTTGTACTAATACATTTGTCATATACTTATTGTTATTATAACCATAATATTTATTTGTTATGTATTAACAAAATATGTTTGGAATGACTGCATTCATAAATCGATTTTTTTTAAACGAAATATTTCGTCACCATTAAATTTCCTACATTCACTATATCATACATTTTTAACCTGAGTTAATAACCTTTTATTTATTTTGACAAAAACCGCAATTTTGACCCTCTGAAGAGGGGATGACGCCCCCGCTTCGGTAGTCCGACGACCTGCACGCGAAGTCGAATACTTTACAGTAGAACAGTTTTACGAAAACCCATACCGCACACCCTCGGTCCCTACGCAGACTGATTCAAGTGGTCACCCACCCGCACACTGACCGCAGCCAGTGATGCTTGACTTCGGTGATCTGCTGGGAAACGAAGGAAGTCAGATAGAAAGAAAAAAAAGTCTCTTTTCCCCAAAAGTAATATTCCAAATTGACGGAAACAAGAGAGGATTTTTCTATTGAATGAAAAGCTGTAAAAAGTAATATTTAAAACAAAGAATAGTGCAAAATGTGCTGTCATACAATCCTGGAAGAATGACGTAACGTCCACAAGGACGTTTTAGCTGACGTTGTAGTACGGTGACTCAAAAACGTACTTTCTCTGATAAATCCGAGCCTTTTTTCAACGGATTTGGATTTTTGATTATCAAATTATTAGCGGGGAGAACTGCTAACTGGAATTGTAAGGTATATACATTTTATACATCGTTTTGAAAAATATAATTTTAAGTGGCAAAATTTCAACAAAATCGCTCGAATTGTTTTTGAATCATCAAATTTTAAATAAGTCATATATACTTAAATTTTGATTAATTTAAATTAAAACTATTCAACCGATTTATTTCAAACTTTGTATTTTGCTTAAACTGATGTAAAACTTTGTAATCCTTTAATTAAAAATTTTTCAACTACTGTTAAATAAATAATAAAATATTATAAATAATTATTAAATTCTATTTTTTGCGTGAGATTATCTTTGGATAAATGGATTTTTTAATTGTGTGCAAATTTTTTTTGCTTCGCTTAACATATTTTGGGGGGCAGTAATCCAAATGCGTCGAAAAAAAAAGAGATCTATATTTATACAGAGACAATGCATTTTCGTGTCTGATTTTGATACTTAATTAATAATTAGCTCTAATTAATTAGCCTATTTCCCGACACCCCCACTAACCATGATCGGTATTTAGTTAAAAAAAAAACCTATCTTTTATATCTTTTGATAACTTTTTTATTTTGCTCACCGTATTCCTCAATAATTGTTTTTCGCTCAAAAAAGCAGTATTTGGTTTCTTAACAACGATTTAGTTCATACGATTAATATTGATAATTTCAAAAAACAAAACAATAATATTTTGTTATTGCTTCTTTCCATCATATTATTTGTTTATACACTTTTTTCATTTAATTAAAAAAAGAAGATGTTAATTAGTATGCAGTGGGAAATAAATTTCTCAAATAAAAATAAGAGATTACTTACATTGATAGAGTTAGTGTTAGAAGAAGATAGAAGCCAGCGATCTTCATACTGCAAGAGAAATCTTTTGTTAACCCTCATACAATCGAAATGACAATTTAAGTGCAATAAATATGAGACTTCCCCTATGCATTCATAAAAATAACTTTTTGTTTTTGTTTGCTTACGTGAAGCGTTTTATTAGTAAGCAGTAGAAGTTCGATATAACGGCTTATTACGAGAAATCTGCCTCAAAATAATAACACCAAAAAAAAATATTTGCGTATACATAAATGCCTATATTTTGCTTTTATATTAACCTATAATTTTTAAGCTTGGTCCAATTTATTATTTCCAGAACCTGACTAAGGCATACCCACATCCGAGGGGGCTCCCAAATAGAATAAAAAAATAAAAAAATAGTGCGTGGAGTCCCACCACGCGGAAGAAGTTAAACTTCGCAACCTGCGACGTTAATTGTAGAAGAATCAGCAGTCGTAGAAGGATTACTAGTTCTATTCAACAACTCTTTTTCCTGCTCCGCTCGTTTCCGTGATCTGTAATCACGGTAATATTGTGCATTTTTCCTTCGTGTACCTCTTGAACCAGTGGAAGTGCTTGTGGTTGCTTCATCTGGAAAATGTATTTGTATTAATAATGTATGTGAATGCGTCATAATGTAATTTCAGAAGAGAAAACCTAACAATCAATTCATATTCACAAGAGACGTACCTTGACATAACCTTAAATCCGTCGCATTGTCCGTGGGATTGTTTTCACTCATTTTTTACAATTGTTATC